GCACACGTCGTGTCACGGTCACATGTCCAAGTGGGTCGCCTAAAATCCTAATAGGGTGGAGTGGCGTGACAAGCCACTAAAAGAAAAATAAATGAGGGGTAAAAAATTAAAGCGTATGCACGTATGCTAGTGCGCGTTTGGAGGGGAGGGATCGAGAACCAACGCGAGGCTCTAGGGAAATATCCCCCACCCAAATGCAATGCAAAGCACGGAATCAAATAAATAAACCATCCATCCATCAAAACAATCGTACGCAAATGGGCGAGGGAGTGAATTGATACGCACGAAATGCAAAAATCCTAAAAAAAGGAAAAATGCAATCCTAAACATCCAAATGTAATATATAAGAAGGTTAAAAGAAGAAAATAATCGACTAAATCAAATGCTCGGACTCTCTAAGTCCCCAGTGGAGTCGCCAGCTGTCGCGCCCCATTTTTATAATAAATAACGAATGGTTTAAAAAAGTGAATTGTTGATTGAAAATATGATTTTTTTTTATTTAAAAAAGAAAATGACAAACATGGGTCTAAGTGGGGGTTTGAAATGCGACGATTTGGACCCAAATCATAGTTTAAAAAGGGTTTTTGAAATAAAAATCGGAGTCGCCACTTGGTATTGAATTAAGGTGTACCAAGTCACCTAAAAATGAAAAATGAATTTTTTAAAGAAAAAGATAGAAAAAACCCTTTTTAAACGACTCCAAGTCTACGTAAATCAAAGGAAAAGATTCGGGAGTCATATTTGAAGAGAGGGAAGGCAAGGACGAAGTCCAAGGCACCCTCTCAACCTAGCCAAGGCTAATTGCGCGATTTAGTCAAAGATTTTCTTATTTTACCCTTAAGATTTATCACATTTGGATGCACTATATGAATGCAAGCCCTAAACCTAAGGGGGCATCGGGGGGTAAAATTTCTCTTCAAAGCTCGAATGGTACTAATCACATTAATTGTGACGCCCAATAATGACTCTTTGGAGAGGTCACAAATAATGCAAAAATATGAGACTCCAAGAAAAGAAAAGGGATAAAATAATTATAGAAATATATATGTCTTAAAGGAGTGCATTATGTCGGGTACGGGGGACTAATGTTCGTGACTCAATTTTCCCTTTAATAGAGGGAATACGAGCGTGCTAAGGCTAGAAAGCCAAACTCGTCCATATCCCATATCCAAGGGGTGTTTCCTAGTCTAATCAAGCAAATGTACTAACCTAGGTCTAGTGCTTAGATGAAATGCAGGTCTAATGTCATGTCTCATACAAAGGGGTAAGTAATATACATATATAAGGGAAAATACGGGGGAAGGGATATACATATATAAGGAAAGTGTCATGCAACATGGTGAAAGAGGCCCTAGAAAGTAAAGATATGCATGAGATGAAGTGATTTTATCACACAATCATGATCTAACGCGCGAAGGGCTCCTAAGGGTCTAGCGTTGGACTAGCCCATATTTCTACTTTCTCACTAGCGTTGGACCAATGAGAAATCGAACAAAGAGTCACAACTAGCATTGGACTAGTACGGATTCGGGAACGGCGGCTACAACTAGCGTTGGACTAGTGTGGTGACGACATGCATTTATTACAACCAAATAAATCATGTAAGACCTAATAAAAGCATATAAACACATAAATCACATATAGCACATAACACACGAGCATGATATCTAGATGCGAGACCCTAAGAAAGCGGTAACACATAGCACATAGACATGCAAAACACACATCAGGCAAGTAAAACAAACAAAGCCCTAACTATTACATTCGGGGGAAGCCTACTACAATCTAAGAGGGGAAATGAAAATAAATAAAATAAAATAAACCTAACTATTACAACTTGGCACTTAAACGCCTTTTAAATAACCAAAATGAAGCTAAAATAAATATACGAAATTAAGACGACTAAAGCGAATAAATAAATAAAATGAAAACACTCAAAAGGCATGCAATTAAACACATAAATCACATAGGCACACATAGGGTCAAATAAAGTAAAAATAAGGGATAGAGTGTACCTCCCTTGAGTTGGGGCACTAATGGAGTGAAATTACTTATTTACCCTCCAAAAACAAAGAAAAGGTCAAGGCATCACTTTAATTAACAAATAATCACATGAAATGGTAATAAACAGGAATTGAATCACTCAAAGTATCACGTTCAAGAAATTTTGATTGCAAAAATTAAAGAATTTTGAGGGGTCTATTTATTATCATTACAAGAATTAAGGGTCTAAAAGGAAATAAATTAAAATTAGGGACCTAAGGTGAAACCTACCAATCGAATGATAAAATTCATAAGAAATGAATAAAACCCTATTTTTACAATTAAACGACAAAAATTCAAACATTCCACAAAAAATTCAAATCAAAGCTATAAGTCTATAAAAAGTTATTAAACCTACAAATTCATCCTAAAACTCCTTAAGAAGCTATCCAAAAACAAGTCAAAACATATTAAAGAGAAAATGGCACATTAAGAGGACAAAATTGATTAAGTTATCCAATGAATTGGGCCATAGTAGCATTAGATAGAAGCCAAGGGGTTAAAGTGCAACTTTCAGAAACTATTTCATGCAAACTTCATGCAAATGTTACAAGGAAAGCTTCTGCAACCGAAAGCTTGCTGCATTTTCGTTGACAAACGCATATTTCTGGTCCAAATGCACGACTTTGATCTAAACTTTTTCACCAATCATCAAAACTCTAAACTAAGCAACCAAATGCCATTGTCTACTTCACCGAAATCAACCAAGGAAACTGAACATAAAATCAGCAAAAGAAGATGAACTTGGAGCAGCGAAGGTTTTACTCATTTGCAAAACAATGTCTATGCTATGGCCTGCTGTTATACCACACTTTGCTGCAAAAATTGCAGCAGACGCATACTATGGCATCACCATCTAATAACAAGCAGACCCAAAAGAACAATCAGACCAAACTAGAACCTCAGCTACCCAAAATCCAGTTTCGTCAACATTGCTGTAATAGATTGGCCTTGTTGCAGCCTGATGCTACATCGTAAATTGCTACTTTAAAATGCAGGCATGAAACTTTTCCTAATGATTTGGGGCTTCAGCAATCAAAGACCACCTATGCAACCTCTCTCAACCTCCGAGACTTCAAGACTCAGTAGTCTTTCACAAACAAAACAATAAAAGAAAACACTACACCTCCGTGAAACGTATAAGGCAGCAAAAAAGGAAAACAAGACACCCCAAAGTTTCATGTTTCCGCTTTTTTCAACTGGGTTTACAAGGTTTCGAAGTCCTGGGTTTATCAAGCTCGGATGAGCTCCAAACCTTCCAACTCAAACCAGAAATTGACAATCACGTCAACGTAGAGAAAGAAAGACATCATGCGCAGGGCAATCATAGAACAACAAAACCTGAAAAGATAAAGCAAAATCCACAGATTCAAAGAACAAGTTTCATCAAGACTTCATTTTTCTGCAACCCGTGAAACCGATATCAACCCAAGATTCATTTTGTGAAATTTTACGAATATAAAAGGGTTGTTAATATCTAAAAGAAATGGGTTAACCTCCACATTCTCCTAATTCACAATGACACAAAAATCCGGGTGCAGAGGTATGAGGAAAAATCTGAAACAACAGCGCATGGCAAGGAAAAGAACCGAAGACAAAGAAAAGAGAAAAAAAAACATGAAAACCAGAACTGGATATTGCCGCATATCGATTTGAGTATGGGTAGGCGGAGGAAAAGGGAAAGGAAGGGTTACCTTGAGAGATGATCGAGCTCCGCAGTAGATCCACGAGACCTGCCGCAACCTTGATGAAGGAATCCGCAAGTGAAAGTATGGAGATCCGGCAACCCCCCCTGGCCGTCCCTTGTTCCTCCGCCGTGAGCTTTTTCTTTTTCTTCTCCAAAGCTGCATCTTTCTTTCCTCCCTAAACCCTAGCCATTCTCTGCTCCTTTCTATTCTCTCAAACTCCTATCCTATTTTTTACCCAGCCGAAGCCTCACTCTGTTTTTTCCTTCACCAACCCACAGCCTTCGTTTTCTTTTTTTTTTTGCTTCTTCTTTCCTCTCGGGTTCTATCTAATGTCTTCCTCAGAGTTCTTGCTTCGTTTCTGTCCCCCTAACTCCCTCTCGGTCTCCTGCAATTTTTCTCTTTTCTTCGCCGCTGTTTCTCTCCTTTCCTTTCTAGCCGCCGCACCTCACTCTTAACTCCCTCATTCTCTACTCTATCCGCTGCTCCCTCAGCTTTTTTAAATGAGACAAGGGTTCGTAAAACCCTCATCTCAATGGCCCTCAAAAATCAGATTTTTATGGGATTATTAGAGCCGTTGGAAACCTCCTTTTGGATCCTTCTTGATCCTTGGATTAAGCCAAGTAGTTTTGGGCATCAACATGATAAAAAATCCCGTGAAATGAAGTTGCATTTTTTTGTCTTGTGGGCTACGTCTGAGCCTGCAATATGAAGGAATGGCGCGCGTGCAAAGCACGCGCGCGTGGGCTCCTATTTTCATTTTTTTCATTTTTCATTTTTCCCATTTTTATTTCCAATGAATCATTTAATTAGCAATAAACAAAAAACAAAAATAATAATTTGAGTAAAAATCAAATAAAATGAACAAAACTAGGAATGAAAGATAAAATGCTGAGAGATTTTTTTTTTTAAATAAATAACAATAAACTTGAATTCAAAAGAAATAAAGCATATTTTTGTGAATGATTTTCTTTTTTTCGATAAATTCCATGCTAAAAAGACTTAAAAATAAAAATAACAAATAAGCGACTAAAAGTAAATAAAAACTAACATAAAAAATAAAATGATAGTAAATAAAACTACACTAAAAATTTGGTGTCTACACATGAGTTTGTGTTTTAGCAATTGAAATGCTTTATCTTGGTCAGCTCCCCAATGAAATGCGCTATTCTTCTTGATGACGGCCGTCAACGGGGCTGCAATTGTGTTGAAGTCGCGCACAAACCGTCGATAAAAGCTAGCTAATCCGTGAAAGCTTCGCACTTCGCTCACAGTTCTTGGTGTAGGCCATTCTTGGATGGCTTTCACCTTGCTCTCATCCACCTGTATTCCCTGTACACTAATAACAAATCCTAGAAATACCAATTGGTTAGTGCAAAAAGAACACTTTTTCAAGTTAGCATACAAACTGGCATGGCACAAAGCATTCAAAACAGCACGTCAGTGCTCCATATGTTCATCAAGACTTCGGCTATAGACCAAGATGTCATCAAAATAAACTACCACAAATTTACCTAGAAAAGGACGTAAGACATGATTCATTAACCTCATGAATATGCAAGGGGCATTAGATAAACCAAAGGGCATGACTAGCCATTCATACAGTCCATAAGTAGTCTTAAAAGCCGTTTTCCAATCATCACCCTCTTTCATTCGAATTTGGTGATATCCATTTTTTAAATCAATTTTTGTGAAGATTACAGTTCCATTTAGCTCATCTAGCATGTTGTCTAACCTAGGTATAGGATGACGATACTTTACCGTTATAGAATTGATGGCTCTGCAATCCACACACATGCGTGAGCTTCCATCCTTCTTTGGCACCAAGATGGCGGGTACGGCACAAGGACTTAAGCTCTCACGCGCCCAACCTTTCTTGAGTAGTTCGTGTACCTGCCTTTGAAGCTCCTTGATTTCTTCGAGACTCATGCGATAGGCAGCTTTATTGGGCAATGGTGAACCTGGAACGAGGTCTATTTGATGTTCAATTCCATGGATGGGAGGTAATCCGTCCGGAATTTCCTCGAGGAATACATCCTCAAACTCCTGCAACAATGATAACACACCAAGATGTAACGAGTTAGTAGCATTATTAGCAACGAGCATAACTTCTTTACAGACTAACATAAGCAAAGGTTGGCGAGAGAGTAAGGCTCGTTTTACTTCCCTAGCTTTAGCGAACATGCTTTGCTTCTTCTCGATTTTCCTCTGAAGGGTCGAGTCAGTCATTGCCATTTTCCCTTTACTTTTCTCGGCTCCTTTCACTCTCCTTTGCTCCTCGCTTTCTTGTTGTAACCGGATTTGGTCCTCATGCACTTGTTTGGGAGTGAGAGGCACAAGTGTAACCTTCCTGTTGTCGTGCATGAATGAGTACTTATTGGTGAAGCCATCATGACTAGTTCTCTTGTCATATTGCCATGGCCTCCCTAATAGCACATGAGTAGCTTGCATGGACACTATGTCACATAGGACTTCATCCTCATATCGTCCAATGCGGAATGGAATCTTGATTTGCTTTGTGACTCGCATATCGCAACTATTGTTCAACCACTGGAGCCTATAAGGGTGAGGATGCTTGAGGGTAGGAAGTGCGGCCTTCTCCATTAGGATCACACATGCCATGTTTGTGCAACTCCCGGGGTCAATAATAAGGCTACACACCTTGCCCTTTATGTGACAACGTGTGTAAAAGATGTTTTTCCGTTGTTGGCCATCCTCCTTCTTGACTTGCGTAGTCAGCACCTATCGAACTACCATGTCGAGTTGTTCATTCGTGGGTAGTTTCTCACTAGAATCGGCTTCATCCTCTTCCAAGGAAGGCATTCCCTCACAGCTATCTTCTTCATCCATAACCACTTCTCCATTGTCAAGTAAGAGCATGGTTCGCCGGTTTGGACACTGCGATGCCATGTGACCGAACCCTTGGCATTTAAAGCACTTGATCTCACGGTTACGGGTTTTAGAGGCATCATTCACTGCCTTGGTGTCCTTCTTGAGGCCCTCAATCTTAGCTTCATTTCGTGTGGCTCCACCCGAGGCTCCCATAATTGGTGTCTCCTTTTTCTTAGGCGGATATGTCCTCCAATTCGAGCTAACGGGTGCACTAGGGAGTCGAGTAGTACCCCCCCTCTTGAGGCGGCGCTCCACTTTTGAAGCTTTGTCCACCATGTCAATGATTTCTATGTAGTGGTGCAATTCCATTACCTCTGCAATCTCGGGTCTTAATCCGCTTAGAAACCTAGCCGTTGTCGCTTCCCGGTCCTCCACTACATCCGTACGTAACATAGCTATTTCCATCTCCTTGAAATAGTCATCCACGCTTTGAGACCCTTGACTCAAGTTTTGTAATTTTTGATAAAGGTCTCGGTGGTAGTGACTTGGAATAAACCGTTTCCTCATCAACCTGTGAAGTTCATGCCATGTGGTCACAGGCAGTTCTCCACATCTCCTTCGGCTAAGTTGCACTTGATCCCACCAAATGATGGCGTAATCCGTGAATTCAAGAGTGGCAAGCTTCACCTTTTGATCCTCCCTATAATCTTGGCATTCGAAAACCATCTCGATGCGCTTTTCCCACTCCAAGTAGGCATCTGGATCAGATTTCCCTTGGAACGAAGGGATTTTGATTTTAATCCCTTTTAGTGCATCATCGTTCCTCTTTGGGTCTCGTTGAACATATCTAGGCCATCGATCGTCTTCATCTCCTTCAGGCGTAGGGCCGGATTCGTCCTTATTGCTTCCCCCATGAACCGAGTTACTTCGTTGTTGATGGTTCTCAAGTTGGTCTATTCGCTTATGTATAGATTCAAGGGACATGTCCATCCTCCGCTGGAACTCATTCAGCAAGGCCTCCATGGTAAGTTTATTATCGAAAGGGTGAGAATCCATTGCTAAGGCAACCTACAAAATGGTTAGTAGAAAACAAGGAAAAGTTTCCTCCCAACACTCCCTCATGTGTATACACTCACACTCGTGTTTGCACACAAGATTACTCACTCGAGTACTCTTACAAATAACTCTTATTGGCCTTTGCTTGCCTCCCTTGAAGAAATCAGAAAATTTTCCCAAAGAACTCTAATGTCGACTTTTCAACCACGATCCAAACAAGGAATGAAGCAAGGGTCAAACTGGAACAAACTCAGGTATATGACACTAGACGCGACTCAAGACTCAAAGCTGAAATTTGAAATCCTAGAAAACTCCTACCCGCAAAACTGGAACTTTGGGCTGTTGTATTGCTGTATTCTGGTCAGTGTTTTGGAAGGGTAAAAGTGCCTTTAGGATGTTCAAAGAAGGTCAGATTCAGTCCCTGAATTTTGGCCAAGTTGATTTTTCAATCCTAGTCCAACCGCCTTTGGAAATCAATGAATTCTATCGCGATTTGGATAAGGACTGGTGGTGGTTTTAGGAGACTGTTTTGGGATGGTTTTGGGCTGTCCAATGTCGGTGGGGGTCTTGGCAACCAATCTAGAATTGAAATTCCATATGTAGAAGCCAATTAAGTTTTGGAAACCCACCAGAAATTGGAATCTCCAATCGATCAAGAATAGGAAACCTGATTTCTTCGAGAGAGCCGAACCCTTCTCTTTTCTTTTAACTTTTTTTTTGTCGTTTCTTTCTTTTTTTTGTCTCTTTTCTTCTTTTTTTTTTGTACTTTTGATCAAGATTTCAGCTCTTCAAAGGAAACAAGTTCAGGTCGCTCCAATCAAGATCAAGGAACGATGGCAAGTTAGGCAAGTTTCAAGAAAGAAAACCCTAGTTCTTGATTTATGGTTTCAAGCACTTTCAAAACAAGTGTTTGTGGTCCAAGAATTTCAAGATTCTGGTTCAAGAACTTGCCCAATTATGTTATGGTATCCAAGGCTTGCAATAACAACAACCAACTCACGACAATAGGCAAGCAGAAATTCAGCAATTCCCAAAACGAAATTCCAGCAACTTGACACGAAAACACAACAAGGTACGTGACTCTTTTGTTGTTGTTTTTTTTTTGACACTTTTGCTGGGCTGTTTTCGCAACCCAAGATGACACAAAAACAACTATAATCCAGACAAAGTTCAGAAGCAAGTAGTGACTAGAAATTGTTGGACAGATTGCACAAGGCACAAAGGCACAATGCGACAAGAACAAAGAAAGTCCTAGCGACTGGAAATTTTTTTTTTTTTTACTCTAATGATTTGAACACAAAATCAACAGGCTTACGGATGAAACTTGGGTAGAAACAACACACGAAAATACTGAAACAATTCTGGAAAATTGCGGACAGCACACTAACAAGACAAAATAGAATTGGCGGCTTCACAAGAACCTTATCAACGAGTTGACGCAAACCCTAAGGACCTAGAATGAAATTTGAAGGATAAAACTGACTCAAGACAACTAAAACAAAGGATATAACATGGTACCTCAACTAGCTCTGATTACCAACTGATACGAACGTCGCCAATTTGTAACGAAACCTGCAAGAGACAAGCGCACAGGATCTAGAGGGACGGAACATGTTTGGAGTTGATGGAACCTTGACCCGTTAGTCACGTGGCTAACGAACCTTGGTATAAGGTAGATGACACCACAATCTAGTGCAATTCTAGATTGATAAGTCGAACTCGAAGATCCTAGGGAATTAATCTAAGAACTTCAAGAAAAGCTCACAAGAAGCCAATGAGAGAACTCTCAATTTTTGTATTAAACAAAATCTCTCTGCAAATACAAATAATTGCCCTACTTATAATAATACTACTAGATGGCCGAAAATCCACAAAGGGCTAGGCCCATGCTCCTAGCAAAGATCGGCCAAATGGGCTTCCAAAGAGCCTTCTACTCGGTCCAAGGCTCAACATGAGTTTTATTGTTCTAAACTAATACTACCAACGAAATATAAAAAAAAATTCTAATAACTATATGATTAATCACGATGCTCCAAGGGGTGCCGTGGCTTCAAGCAAGGCCCTCTTCATCATCCAAGGTCTCCACCAAGGTGATTTGTCTTTCATCCTTACATGCAAGGCCTTCTATGGTCCGCGGCCTCCCAACGTAGGCTTGGATAGCATGGATTAGGAGTTGGAGCGCTTCCTGCATGCATTCTGTGAGAACCCGTAATTTTCATTTTCTAGGTTTCTCATATTTTTATGGCTTGTTTTCTGCATTTTCGTGATTAGAAAAATTTTCTAGATAATTTTAAGGAGCAGATATAATTTTTAGATGATTTTTCTAGTAACGAATGGATTTTGAGGAATTAAGAGCGTATACCGGACGTGGGACCCACTGGTGTGAAAAGTTCGGAAAAATTCGGCCAACTAGATTAAGTTTTGAATACTGGAGTTAATTTACCGGGTGTTAAGAGATAAGTAGAGGTTGCAATTTGGATTGATATGAGAGAGACAAGTTAGGTAGATAGTTAATAAAAGGTGACAAGTGTCACCATTGGATTGGTCTTGAAGTAAGACCACTATTCCTATTCTTACCATTGCCCAAATAAATCAAAAACTAACCAAAAAAATTCACCATTTTCTCTTCTTCTTGGCCGACTCCTTTCAAGCACAAAGGAAAGAAAACTCTCCACAAATTTGGTCTCCAACCTTGCTCAATCTCCAACTTCAACCGGTTAAATTTGTAATTGCTCCATAAAACTCCTCCACTTAGTGATTTTGAGGTGATTGGTGAAGCTGTTTGGAAAGTTAAGGTGACCAATAGCTCTCTCTCTCTTGTTTTAAAGGTAAGTTGTGAAGAACCACCCTCCTCCTTTAATTGATGCTTAAATCATGCTTAGTGGTTGTATGAGATGCAAATTTATGGGTTATTTCTTGATTTGTGGTTGAAATGATGGAATTTTATTATTTTTGGGGATTTTTCTGTTTTAATATAAGCATGATTGTGTGGCTATCTATGATGATTGGAAATGGTCTATATTGACTCTAGGAGGTGGAAAAAGTGATTAATTGCAACCAATTTCTGTTTTGGAAGAAAATTGAAAAACCTAGGGTTCTTAAGGGAGCATTCTGTCCGAATTTTTAGGTCCTAGATAGAGGCCGAATTGGCCTTAGCTCAAAACATGAAAGTTGTAGGGAATGACATTTAAGAGGTGCCTACAAACTTTCAGATCAATCGAAGTAGTGTAGAATGAGATAAGTCGAAATTACTATTGCTGTTCTGGTTTTACCCGAAATTGAGAACTGCGCCTGTAATTGGTTGTTTTGGCTGGAATTGCTTCCGAATTGGTTATTGAGGCCTTCTGATGAAATTTATACCTGTTTCTTAGCTTTCAGATGGTTTTGGAATTTCTAGATTTGGACTTGTAGAGCCTGAGTTATGATGTTTCCGCTAGAATGCGTTTTGGTGAATCTGTTTTACGTTGTTGATGAAGTATCTTGTATTTTTGACCTGTTTTCACTCAAAACTGGGTTGAGTGAACTTCTGTGATGTTGTAGCCCTGTCTTTTAGCTTCGAGATGGTGGGTCTTGTACCCTCATCCGATAAGCGTAGTGAAATTTGTTGCATTACCGCAAAATGAGGACAAAAACTGTTTTTTTCAGGGCCAAAGCTAGTTACATTTTCGAAATTTCTGGTTTCCTTTAATGTTTGTATATGCTTATGGAACCCTATTGGGGTCATGTTTGGCCTT